CAACAACAACAACAACAACAACAACAACAACAACAACAACAACAACAACAACAGCAACAACAACAACAACAGCAGCAAAAACAACAATAAGCATAAATACTAACAACAACAGTAAACAACTATACTAACAACAACGACAACAATAAACAATACCACTACTTCTTACAACAACAACAACAACAACAACAACAATAACAACAACAACAACAACAACAACAACAACAACAACAACAATATATTTATTATCAAACTCACCGGGTGTTCAGCATCTAGCTCTGTGCCGTACATAAGCACATTGTGAGCACACTGGTCCAGGTCGTAAACCATTCGGGGGAACCACGGGACATTCTCCATACAGGCTGAAAAACACACACACACACAGGAGAGGGTACTTTACTTTACTTTTTAGTTTTATCCGCCGCTTATACCCTTTTGGGTGTAGTGGGAAGAAAGAGACGTCTCTCTGCCACCAGCCGGAGAGCTTGGGAGAGGGTATAAGCAATACATTATTATTGTGAGGCGTGTTGACAAAATGAGGGTACTTCTCGCAATCCACGAATGGAAACGTCGGCCGTAAATAGACCCACCAAATTTGTAGATTTTAAACTGATTCAATTTTCTTCAAGTCAAACATGTCCTTTATCATTTCATATAATGATTGATAATATTGAACAAACCTACAAATTTGACATTAATATATCTGTATCAATAGGGCTAAAATCGGAGAATTGCCTAATTTGGTCAGCGCACATCACAGTTGCGTTATTTTAAAATGTAGGCGTTTTTACATCCCCATATCGACATACTTTAGATTATTCAGGAGGTGGGCTCCTACCCTGCCTGTCGTGGCCAGTCGAGGCAGAAAAGGATGCAACGCCGCTGCAGAATGACCGAGATCATCGATAAGCATTTTCCCCACACGAACTTAGTCTTCTGCCTGCAACAGCAAAGCGTCTTACCGCTATACCACAGTCGGTGGTGGACAATTATGATCAAAATAAAATTAATATCAGCTCTGATTATTACAAAAAGAAGTTCGGTTAAAATCCAGTTGAGGTCTGTATTCATAAACAATAAATGATCTTTCGCGTATGACGTCATGGCTACCCCCTGCGTTGGTCGCAAAGAGAGTGGATGCCCCGGATGTGCGTAGTAGGTCAAGTAAGTTTCGAATGGAAACCTAATTAGACTTTTATCAAGAAGTCTGTAAATGCCACAATGATGATGATGATGATGATGATGATGATGATGATGATGATGATGATGATGACGATGATGATGACGATACTGCTGCTTCTGCTACTGCTGCTTCTGCCGATGATGATGATGATGATGATGATGATGATGGTGATGATGATGACGGCGATGATGATGACGATGATTCGGATAATGTCACTGATGCTAACAAACAAACTAACAAATAGCAACAAGTATCATTATTTCTTGTCACTGAGAACACACACAAATGCAAGCATCCACTGACCAGCCTTGGTGAGTGCCGGCGGCGTCATGGGAATGTTGAGCTGGTTGAAGGTGATGCTGGCCACCTCCCTCTTGAGCCTGTTGACCAGCTCCTCCAGCCGGATGTGGTCAGTCTCCACGTCCACGTAGATGTCGTACTCGGAGTCAGCGCGCCGGGACTTGCGAGACTCGATGTGGACCACGTTGATTTTGTTCTCCTGGGGGCGGTAGTTTCAAAAAATCGTGTTAATTAATTCGTTTACGATGGTTGTCACGATCTTTACGATATTCTCCCGGCGACGAAATAATTATTTCTAATTTTCCCGTGGTTGTATCTATAATCTCGTTAAATTTTCTTATGGTGATTTAAAAAAAATTATCTCATCAAATTTTAAAAAATTCTGATGTGGCAATAATCTTGTTAATTCCGATGTAGCGGTGCTCATGATCTTTCAATTCTTCCACTAAGATACTTTAGAGTCTTATGCGGCAGCATCTGGGCTATAATCTATAATGGCAATTGAGTATTGTTAATAAGCTTTTGATTTCACCTGTGCCAATGTATATAATCTTTAAAAAAATTGTTTTTGGTAGTGTTAAGACTTTTAAATTCTCTGTGCCCCTAATCTTTAGAAAAAAAAAGTGGAATAATCTTTATATTGTCTTGTAACAGTTTTACTTTCTTATCATTCAAAACAACAAATGAAGCAATGGCTGCAAAATAAACCCTTCGTACACCACATAACTATCTTGTTATACACAAAGAACGCGTGGTTTCAATACTACATATTAATCAAGATTTTTAAAAAAGTTATTTTAAAATAGCCTGGGTTAAAAAAAACAATTCAACTTCCCTTTACCAGGGTTAAAAAAACAACAACTCAATTTCACTGAACCAGCATCAATGATGTGATGCTGTAATGAAACCTTACCACTTCCTGCTGAAGATGTGAGTTTAAATGGGGAAGCTCGTTTCATCGAGTATGTGAGTCTATCTGCTGGGGTCCTGTATCCCACTCACCCTGGTTTGGCCCAAACATGCAGGGTCGAAATAACCTGCCCAATGTATGATCTATATTGTGCTGATGGAAGGGGAGGGGGAGGGGGTATGGTACAGGTTTAGCGCCCTTATCAACACTAGTAGGTTTCTTAAGAGGCAAAACTTCCGAGTTTAACGCCCATCTCCAAAAGGACTGAGCCAAATAGGAACTAAGTACGAAGTGTCTTTCTCAGAGACACAGCGTCGAACCGAGCTGAGACTCGAACCCCTGAACCAGAAATCTCAAGATTACAGGTTCCCGTCGCCTGACCACGAGGCTATCAACGCCACCCACGATGGGAGCGCGAAACATCTACATTCTACATCTACATCAACAGCTGAAAAGGTATGCCCCGACAAGCAGGATTGAAGTAGCCAGCCTTCAATATAATCTTATTGTGACTTTGGGCATAGAATATTAAAACTTTCAAATACAGCCAAGCCTACTCTACCAACCACCTGTACAAAAAATAC